ATTTCATGTTTCCTAAGTGTAATGTGCATCATATTAATTATTTATCACAATAGCAAATTTCCATATTTCACGAATTCGTGCATATGATACATTATATTTTAAAGCTAATATCGGTAATGCATTTCCTGTACCCTTTGCAGTAATAATATCCCTAATTGCTTTGGGTGATAAGCACTTAGCACCTGATATTAATCTTCTAAACATTTTATATATGCAGAAAAACAATTTATTGCTAGTTATATGATATCTTATGCCTTTATAGATACTATTTGGATTGAATTCTGATATTTATTTGTATAGCAATAAAGATGATAAGTTTCTTCGCCACAATATTCACCACAACCCCAAAAACCCTCTATATAATTATATTTTCTTTTTTATGGTTTTTATTACATAAAGGGCAGGGTACTGATCTATTAAAATCAAAGTAATTATTTTTAAAGCTATGTTTCAGAGTTAAATAAGGAAATCGCTCCAATACCATTTTAATAACGTGTTTTTGTTTCTCTTCTGGGTCTTTAGGTAGAACAGAAATTGGAAATTGTCATTTAGGTGATATAGGTACAACATTCATCTGTAGTACCCTCACCTGAGTTTTCAGTGAACTGTCTTGTAGGATATGATTATCAGCATTTTTGCTTTGTGGAGGTTCGGGAGTTTCAGACATTATCCAGGGATCAAGCCCAGTTTTTTTCTTATATATTTTATATAATTTGGAATGAAGTTTATCGGATATAGTGGTTGGCAAATCAGTTAATTTGGAATACCAATTCAGATGTTTGGGGGTTAGTACCTTATCAGACTTGGCTTGTGTATCCATGTTGTCATTTATATAATTTCAAAGCAATTTAATTTCCTTTTTTCCTCTTTGTCTCTCAGAAAAAAAAAATGTATATGCTATCAGTATATATTATCAGTATATATTATTGCCTTGCAATGGAGCTTTGCTTCTATCAGTATATGTTATCTGACTTTTTTTCTGGCTTTGAGCAGTTATTGTGAAAAGGCGGGTTATAAAGCGCAAACAAATTTTATGTAGTTATTTGAATTTCGTTTTGCTCACATTTAATATAGTAAGTTTCATCTTTATATTCTCCTTTTATACCTTCCTCACCATCATGGTCTAACTTGCATAAAGGGCATGATGCATCATCACTAATTCCGTAGTAATCAATATTTTCATCGTTAAATTCATAAAATATATTGGGATATTGATCTAATACTTTCTTACAAAAACTTATATGGTTATCCTTGCCAGGAGCAGTCATAAGGTGGGTAGGATTATTTTGTTTTTCAGGTAAGGTCCTTAGGTTGAGATATACTTACCTCTTCCTCAAGTAAAGATTCGACTTTCTCACTTATTTTATCTTCAGAATTAGAGGTATGAACCAATGGAACAGAGGAAGTGGTTGTAATACTTTCGTCTGTTTCAGATGAGATTTTTCTGGGACCGGCGGTCTCAGAATTTTGATGTCTTGCATTATCTGTATCGACGTTCTGACAAGAATAATTTATAATCTCTTGAATTTGATCATTAGTAAGTTTTGAAATGGAATTTGCACTATATGATTTGATGCATTTGATTTTATCATGGCCTATTTTTTCAAATAATATATAAATTTTCTCAGCTCTCTGAGTTTTTTTGCGCAAAGCATCCTGCGATATTTCTGGAAGATATAAACCCAATTTTTGAGATCTTTTTTTACAGATAATAGAAAGTTGTTTTGTAATAGAATCATAAAGTAAGCTTCTCGCCTTCTTTTCACCAATTTTACCTTCGCTATTTTTAATAATATCATTGAACTGAACCCTGAAATCCTTTCCATAGATGGCCCAACATAAAGATTTCTTCTTGGTTAGCTCTATTTGCACCATCCTCAGCATCAAAAGCTTTATCACATAACTGAGCTAGATGTTGCGATGCTTCATCAATGTTAGATTTTCTGGGACCGCCGGTCTTGGAAATTTCAATCACATGGTTTTGAATTATATTCGATGAGTCTTCGACTCGAAGCTTCACTTCTTCTTGTAGAGACGGCTCTGGAGTAAATAATTCTTAGATTAACCCCTGTCCACCTTTTACACTCAAAGAAGATTTAGTATCCTGGGAAGTTATGATTTTTTCTTGATCTTGGAGTTTCTTTTCCCTAATTCTCTCTGTTATCTCTTTACTAACCTGATCCTTATACTGCAAATTCAGAAATTCATTTTCTTCCTTCTCTTCCAATGATATGGTTTCTGCAGGAATAGGAGATGCAAAGCATTGGGTTAAAGGTATATCGGAGACTCTAGACTTCATCTCTTCCAGACATACATCAGAATTTAAAGTATTATCAGATATATCAGATGCCGAGACATTATTAGGTTCATCAGAATTTGAAACATTATTGGATACATCAGATACCGAGACATTATTAGGTTCAGAGGTATCATCAGAATTTGATGTGTCACTGGTTATTATTATTTCAGATGCAGGAATATCGTTGGAATTTACTATTTCGGTAGGAACGGTATTAACCAAAGATTTAAGTGTTGGAAACACCGCACTCCGTGCGTCATCTTGCAACTGCCTTTGTTCCAATTTCGCAAATCGTTCTTCATTTTCTTTTGCCGATCGTTCTAATTCTACAATTCTACGCTCAAGCTTATTTTTTTCTTTCGCAATCTGTTCTAATTCTGCAATTCTAGTCAAAAGCCTAGCGTTCTCTTGTTTCAATAGATCTAGTTCGGATTTGGTATTTCCCATTGTTTTGTATAAGATACGAATATATTCAAATAAAATAAAAAAATTAATCAACCACGGATTCGAACTTTTCTTCTGATTCAGATACTTCAGCAACAGAGGATATACATAGGATCGAAGCGGTAAGCTCGAAGAGCCATTGCTCAGCAATAAGGAAACGCCCCATTCTAAAGTGTAAAGTAAAGAGTAAAGTTAATTATCGAGCTTTGTAGTGGAGTTAGTGTCCCAACATATGAGACTTCACAAATGCATTTTAATCTGATGTCGTGTATTATTATGTGATCATTAGCGGAGCAAGTACCAAAGGTGCTAGATCTTCTCTGTTTTATGAATAAATAAGATGTATCTATTGTTGTTGTATAAAAATGATCTTTCGGAGAAAGTGCACTCCATGCATTAAGCTTTTTTTTGACGTCAACCCAGGAAGAGAGATGGTAAAGATATTTCCAGTGGTATTAAATGTGTTTCATATTCATAATTTATGTGCCTATTTCTTATGAGGACTATGTCCATTGCTTCGCAATAATGTCACTCCGTGTCTGGCACTAGCTCCGCTATAATAAAGCGTGGCAATGGAAATTCAATCTTGTGAAATCGGTAAAGTGCCAGTTAAAACTATGTCTAATCTACTTGATCTTCTTCCTATAGAATTAATACCATTTATTACAAAGTATCTTCCGATTCAGACCTTTAGAGCTCCAGTAAAAGAATTCTATACAAAAGTATTAAAACTCGGTTAAAAATATGAGTCAGAGACTCTATGCTCCACATATTAATTTTGTTTCTGGAGGTAGATTAGCTAACTTATTCTAGACATGGGTGCTAGCTGATTTTTTAACGAAAACTTCATGTAATTGTTGAGGAGAGACATTCGGAAATAATGGAAGTCCCTCTCCAGTAAACCACATTTTCTTTAGCCCCATTTTGCTAAATTTTTGTAATATCACACTTGGAACATCTTCTAAGGGACCATGAAATTTCTCAAACTTTTGGAGATATGCTCTTGCATTTTTATCAGCTTCGTCTACCATTTCTTGGTTAGTATAACCGACAATACCAAGTTCTTCCTGAATTGCCATTATATCCTCTTCTAAATATAAAAGCAAATTATACAATTTCGAAAGTGGTAAATCGGTGGAAGCTTTATTGCTTTGATTTGCCAGATGAGTCAGAGACTCTGGGCTCTGCCCATTATTATACCACTCCACTGCTAGAATGGGATTGCCATCAATGTCAAGATTTTTCTGTATTGGTATTAACCCCCCCCCCCCCACCAAATGTAATAATAACTTATATGAATCAACAAGTGTTTTGCCTTCGGGCTCATGTTTTGTTTTGCTTTGATGCGTTGTTGCATTATTTGCATTGCCATTAATACTGAGTTTTTCTTGAATTGCTATTATATCCTTCTTCTTATATAAAAACACTTCATATACTTGAGCAAGTGTTTCGCTTTGATCAAATCTATTATTAGTATTACTTATCATATTTGTTATAATAAAATAATATATTTAATCCAGATTAATTTTCGGAATGTGGACGCAAACAGATAATGGTGCTTCGTAGTAGAGAATAAGTAATTAATTCCGATTTGATTTTTTCTTGCCAAAGTGATCGGCGCACGTGATTTTTCAGTCAAATATATATAATATAATATTATAATTTATTAATGTGTGCCAAAAAACACTAAGCTTCGCTTATTCGAATAATAGATGTATTAACTTCTTACTTTGATAAAAAAAAACAAGAAATGTTGTCAAGATCGCCCATAGAAAAATACTTAATTAATATATGTCAAGTACGTAAGTGCCATAAGTCTTAGACTTGTCCCCTCTGGGCCCGATCTGCAATAATATACTGGATCATCCATATAAAATTAGCATATGTAAAAAGTTATCTGAACAAATCATTACGCGAGTTCATTTAGTGATTGTATTTTATTCTCCACAATCATTGCGGAGGAAAATTACCATATATACTTATTTGATAGTAATAATAATGATAACAATAATAAAATCTACCTAGCTTGTCAGTGCGTCACAATCATTGCGAAGGAAAATTACCATATATACTTATTTGATAGTAATAATAATGATAATAATAATAAAATCTACCTAGCTTGTCAGTGCGTCAAAATCCAATTCGGTATAGGAGATTTTGTTATATGGATCAACACAATTGTCTTTTAGCACGAATCTAACTCATGCTAATATTACACATCTTCTGTAATGCGTCATCGTTATTCTCAGAAGGTTTTGATCTAATTTTAGACTGCGGGTGGTGATGGGAGAAAGATATATAAATACAAGATAAGTCAACTTCTCTACTTCTATTTCATAACTGTAACACCTAATCAAAAAAATCGATCAAAAATCTATTTAAAAATCTATTTAAAAATCTATTTAAAAATCTATTTAAAAATGTCTATCGATATAATTCATGTTTTTTTCTTTTTGATTTT